TCTTCGTTGCAGAGTCGTCTAATATTCTTCGCTCCATCGCTGCCAAAATTGTTGGTGCAACTGGCGAAACCACTGCCAATGCTTAAGCCGACTACGCGGGACGTCGATGAGGTCAGGTTCAGGAATGGCAATTATAGGTTGCCCGATCAAAAAATCCCCAGGAGTAAGCGCGTACCGGTCCTCAGGGTCATCCACCAGTGGATATATAGGGCGAGAGTTAAGGCAAGCTTCAATCCTTACAGCTAGCGTATGCAACTGGCTAAGCCATAGGCTTTGAGTTCCGACCTTTTTAGCTAAGTGGCGTTTGGCTGACTTTACCGCAGCTTCCCACAAGCCACCTTGATGCGGAGCATTTGGCGTAATGAAGTGCCAGGTTGTCCCCATATGAGCTAGGGCCTGTTGATTTTGTTCGGCATGCCATGCAGCAAGATCTTCCTGCAAAATGCGGTTCGCACCCACAAATGCGGTACCATTGTCGCTAAATAAGTCCTGGCACGGACCACGCCGACCCACAAACCGAGTGAAAGCCTCCAAAAATGCTTGCGATGTTAAATCTTTCACCACCTCTATATGAACGGCTTTCGTAGTCATACACACGAATATCGCCAGGTACGCCCTCGTCGTAGCGCGTGATCGTTTGGTTCCTATGCGAAGGGTGAACGGACCACAGTAGTCCACTCCGGATCTTAGGAACGGACGCGCCGTTTGGACACGCTGCCCGGGTAAAGCTGCCATCTGCTGCTTCAGAGAAACACCCCTATGTCGACGGCATACAACACAGCGATGCTAATAACTACGCACAGCCTGCCCGGCGTGCAGGATCCAGTAACAACTCCGTAAGATCTGAAGCATTAGTTGCACCCCACCGTGAAGAGTAGTTTCATGGGCATGACTTATCAGCAGATGCACAAGGGCACTAACTTTCGGCAGAATTATCGGGAACTTCGAGTCGTGGGGGAGGAGTGCCTGTCCAATCCGACCGCCTACTCGCATAATACCTTGATCATCCAGGTAGGTGTTCACAGAGTTGGGAAAAATTTATTCGAATGACGAATAACAAATGAATAAATTGTTTTTCTTGTTATTCGTAAATAATAAATAATTTTGTTTATTTAAAAAAAAATTATTCGAATGACGGATAAATTATTTTATTCGTTATTCGAATAATTATTATCTTCATTAATTATTCGAATAACGAATAAAATAATAATAAAACAAGTAATTTATGTATATATATATGTACATATATTTATGTATAAAATGATAACCGTTTTCGTTGTTTCGATTTAACTCAAACCCCTGGATAGATTTAAGTCAAAATTTCGGAAGTTATTCCCTGCGCATAAAGTCCTATTAAAGGCTACTAGAAAACTCCTTGGTGGCGATGGAGCCGAGTTATTTATAAAAGCCGTATTTATGAACCGATTTCGTTCAAATTCAAAATGTGTTCTTCCTGCATGATGAAAAATACTTATGCGAAAAATGGACCCGCTAGGGGGCGCTGCAGTTGAGTTATTTCGAAAATCCCTATTTATTGTACAATCAGGTTGCAATTCATAATGGTGCTGCAGTCGAAATCATTAGAAACCCCATATGTCTGGACTACTTTGTTTTTTATGTTTTTGTTATACGAATTTAAGATGTGTCACGTCGTCATACGACCTTGCATCCTACCTCCGCTTGATGAAATTGCTCGGGCGGCCATTGCTGAAGCAGTAAGACTCAAGGAAACCAGCTCTTGGATATTTTAAAAGTGGCGAATCAGCAAGGAAAGTTTCTATCACATCCTTGCAAGAAAGACCACTGTTGGTATATCAATGGCCAAATTTTACATTGAGGATTTTTGGCTCTCCTTAATAGAAAACGCACATCTGTGCTCTTCAGCTTCCTTATAAGGACTTTTGTTGGCCTACATGACGAGGTTGACGCATCGGACCAATGTTGTAGTTGCAAGATCATGGAAGAAGATTACGCACGCCTATAAAAGATCTCACAAGTGGAAATAAGACCATCGGTAAAGCTCATGACATTGAAAGGGATTTTTTCTTGCATATAGCATCAGAGCGCTATTTTTTTGGCAGAAATATAAGTGAGAAGGGTTCTGCTCTTTAGTTATTCAACCTAAAATAAGAATTTTTACTTTACCCATATTTGGTTTTCCACGCTATTCTTGCATTGGCCAACGCAAAAAATCTTATCAGGGGCCGTGTAAACAGAATTCAGCTAATTCACAATCCTTGACAATAGAAATAAAAGTAAAAGGTGGCTCAATGTGTTAAAAATGAGTTTTTATTCATTATTTAAAATAACGAATAAAATAACGAATTATTTATTCGTGAATGAGTTATCTGCGAATAATTATATTACGGATAAAATTTTATTCGAATAATTATCTAAATAACAATTTATTCGAATAATGCCCAACTCTGGGTGTTCAAGGGGCTTAACGAACTTCCCACAGCTGCCCTAGAATGATGCTTGATATGATTAATGTCTTTCGAGAAAAAATTACCTTGCCCCAAACTGAGAAGTCTTTGTAGTGCTTCTTCGAGCTCTCTGGCCCCGATTGGACGAGGTATGCAAGGTCGGTAGCTCGGGAGCCATCGGCGGAGAAGTGTCACCGTTCCCAGTAACTGATGGAGGGAGCTGAACCGTTCTGTTAACAGGATCATTTGTCCATCCACCCGGCGAGTTGTGAGTTGAAGCGGCTGGGATAGGGCCGTCAGCAGAGTAGTCACCTTTTCTTCGGTCTGTATAACAGCCTCCTCTTCCGCTGTCGGTACTGTTAAGGTCGCCTCGGAATCGGGAACATGACGAAGGAAAGAGGGACCCAACCATCATAGGACATGTCGCTCTAATTCCCAGGCCATCATGCCACGGCTGGCGCAGTCCGCTGGATTCTGCCCAGACCGCACATAAAACCACCTCGACGGATCAGTAAGTTCTTGGATGCGCCGTACCCGGTTCGAGACGAACGGCTTCAAAAGTGCTGGCGGTTTTCGTAGCCAGTCCAAAGGGATGGTGGAATCTGACCACATGTAGTACGTCGTATCCGTAAAACCTAAAGCAGTACGCATATTATCGAAGGTCTCCGCGAGTAGATGGGCGGCGCTGAGTTCTAGCCGTGGTATCGTAGCTCCGCGTAACGGGGAAACTTTCGTCCGAGCTGTCAAAAGGGAGACATTGTCGCGGCCCTCCGAGGTAGTTGTCTTGATATAAATCACTGCTGCATATGCGCGTGTACTGGGTCTGCAAACCCATGTATCTCAACCCGGTTACGTGATGAGAGACCTAACCAACGAGGTACTCGTATACGATTGAGGGCATGCCAGCTGGCTCGAAAGCGGAGCCATTCCTCTAACAAGTCTTCCGGTGAGAGCGCATCCCATGCCAGTCCAGTCTCCCACAGAGTCTGAAGGAAGATCTTACCCCTTACTACGACGGGAGCAATTAAACCGGTGGGGTCGAATAATTTCGCCACTTCGCTGAGAACCATGCGCTTCGTTATGGCGCCGGTTGGCGGTGGAAATTGAATCCCGAAAAACAATTCATCCGACAATGGATCCCAACGCAAGCCAAGGACCGTAGTATCCCGGTTTCCGATGACCCGTTCGCTCTGTGGTTTGTCGTCTTCCGCCAAACTGTTCATTACGGCGGCCACATTGGAGTTCCACTTGCATAGTTTGAATTTACCTGCAGCCAAGATGGTATCCACATTACGCGCCACAGTTACCGCTTCAGAACAAGAATCGAAGCTGATTAAAAATCATCCACATAGAAGGACGTTAGAATGGCGTTTCTGGCATCGGTGGCCATTTGCTGATCCGTTATGAGACCAATGTTGTCATGTGCACATTGGTGGAGAGCGCGGACGGCGTTAAATGGACTACACGCCATACCATATGTAACTGTCTTCAGCCGATAAATTCCAACCGGTGCGGTTGGAGTATCACGCCAAAGAATGCGTTGGTAATTACGGTGCACTGCATCGACTTCCACCTGCCGGAACATTTTCTCAATATCCGCTATAAGTGCTACCCGGTACAGTCGGAATCTAAAGAGAATATGGACCAAGGGGTCCTGAATGGTTGGCCCAACCATCAGCACATCGTTCAGGGAGACGCCTGTGGGAGTACGAGCTGAAACATTAAATACTACACGGAACTTTGCCAGAACAGCATGATGGGGTATGTAGTACTCGGCGGCCGTTTGTTCCTCATTGGCGACTCGCTCCATATGCCCCAAGGTGGCATACTCGCGCATGAAATCGGTATACTTGGAATGAAGCTCGTCATCACCGGCCAGCCTCCGCTCAATTCTAAGAAACTGCTGTAAAGCCTGCGTATAAGAATCGCCCAAGTCTACACTTTTATGGAAAGGGAGCGGGACTACATACCGCCCTTCCGCTGTACGGGTATGTGTCATCGCAAAAATTGCTCACACTCGTCGTCTTCGGTGACAGCTGTGTTTGAGGGTAGTTCCTCCCATTTCCAAAAATTACGGACAAGCTCTTCCAAGGATACCTCCGAGTCACAAATCTTAGCATGAATTGATTGAGGTCGATGCGCCAATACCTTCCACCGCCACATTGTGTTTGCGTCTACGTAATTGCAGCTGATTTGTTAATTTCTCCGTTACAAAACTTACCTGCGAACCAGGATCGCAGAGAATGCGGGCGATGCGCCGAATGGAGGACGTGCCGATCGCATAGACACTTGCCGTTGCCAACAGAACCATAGGTTGACCATGTGTTAAGCAAGAAACCAAATTACTAGCGAGTGTTGATTGTTGAGAGGGTACCATGTTACGCGGTGATGGGCTGCCCGATGTCGCTGCTCCAATTTTATTATGTTCCGCACGGCAAAAAATGGTGTTGTGCTTTCGGCCGCATCGCCGACACCCACCTGAAGGACAATGTTTTGTCATATGGCCACCCCGCAAACCATTAAAACACAGGTTAGAAGTTTTCAATGCCTTGAAGCGCTCTTCTGGTCCCAAAGCTAACAACTAAGGACAGCGCATGACGCGATGCTCGCCCCCGCAACTAATGCATTGCCCCTCTTCTGTTCTGACAAGATAAGTTTGTAGGGCCCGAGATTTTTTTCCTGCCGAGCTCCAGCTGTTGCAATGGAAAAGTTTGCCCCACCATCACAAGCCAGGCTATGAGCGCGTTTTTCCAAAAATTTTAGCAAGTCTTCTAAGTTGGGAATGTCCGGTGTTGTAAGGCTCATATTCCAGTGCCGCTGCACCGTGGTGGGCACCTTCGATACCACAATTGGCACCATAATGGCGTCCCAACTATTCACCGGTAGCTCCATGACCTGCAATGCTCGTAGAGACTCTCTAACCTGGTCGACAACGGACAACAATGCCTTTTGACTGTCTTCTGTAGTAGGCTTCATATTGAGCAACCGAGTTACATGGGCTTCGGCTAAGTGCCGCCGGCTATTATACCTGTCGTTCAAGGCCTTCCAGACCTCCTCATACCCACCGGAGTAATGACTGCCAATTAGGGGCACCGATTCCACTGGAATGGGTTGCAGTAACTTTGCCAAATTGTAAGCTTCGGGATATTGCTGTTTGTGTATTAACGACTCGAATAAGTCTCTGAATGCCAGCCAATTATGTAGTTGGCCATCGAAACTGGGGACCACCAATGGATCCAGTTTCAATTGAGACTGCGGCTGCTCCCTAACCTGTACCGATGAGGCGGGCGGCGATGAAGTGGCTTCTTTCAATTGACGCGAGACCAATGCCACTGCCTCATTGTAGATGCCCTCTACCTTATCCCACAGATCTTCGTGCAGAGCGAATTCCTCCTTGGTGGCAATCGCAACCAATTTGTCATGATTAACCTCAAATTTCGTGAAGTAGGACCGTAGGGCAGCCAGCTCCTGCTCTAATTGACACGTGTCCCAGATTTTACCATTGAGTCTTACTCTCTCTGCTGATTTTTGGATGGCATTGCTCGCCGCCAAACGTAGGTTTAATTCAGCCATATCGAATTAACAATTTAACTAAGTAAGGTCCTCACAGGAGGCACCAAAAATGTATCAAGAAAATAAAAGATATCCAAACTTACGGAAGCAACGTGGAGAACAAAAGTCCCTTTATTTGAGATAACAAGCCAAAGCTAGAATCGACAACTACAAATCGAAATATTGATGTGGTGATGCCATCTTGAATGGGGTCACACGATACATCAGCCGTTGATGAGACTTAATACTAAACATTGGGTGTTAGTTAATATCTTACGAATGTAATTAGAAAATATGTAAAGTACCGACTTTCTCTTGGAAATTTAATTTATAGTCTTGCAACTGGAGTCTACTATCGCACCCTTTCCTTAAACGTGTATTAATTTAATATTCAAATACAGTACACATATTTATCTAATTTGGAAAGAAAAATCTCCCTACTATACAAATATGTGAGAGGAAGTAACAAAACAAAAATACGTTTAAGGCGCAGGGAAGGACGCCGGGTATTTGCTAGAATTGTGTAACTTTAAATATTTTCATGACATTTCAATTTAAATACTTTCATCTAATTTTCAATAAAATTTTAAATTTTGTGCTACGTATTTGAATCCAATTCTTGATTTGTTTTTTCGGAAGAAAGAACTGTGACGTAAATAACTACTTTTTTCTGACAATAATTCTATTTCTATACCGAAAAACTACCATATCTATTATTATTCGCAAACCCCTGACTTGAATGGCCCACCTTAACGATTTTTATTTTTCTACAGAAACCGTCAGTGACCAAAATTTATAACAATTTAACTTTTTCTAAAATTTTTCAAGTGTCTTATATACACTTATGTATTTATAACTCTATATTTATATGTACATAAAACATTATTTGTCGTAATGTGTCCATCACATATTTACAAAATTAAAAAAAGAAACTATTTTGCCTAATTAAAAAAAGAAGTTTGGAAAACACACCATATTTTATATTGCATGTGAGACAGCACATACAGAAAACCACAGCCCTTTCCTATTGGATGGCTATACCCCTTATTTCATGCCAAACTTTCAGCGGACTATAATATTTGACTATTTTCTCAGTAAGTAACACATATGTATATTCTTTTTCGACATAAGGGTGCGGTGAGTGGTAGTCGGTGGTAACTATCGGTGTTTGAACTTTTTGAGGTTATCGGTTATGTCAGATTTTGAAATTAAATTTATAGAATACCAATCCGATTTCGTTAAAATAACTAAGCGAATTACGCAGAATCGACCACTGTCGACATACGCGGTTAAACTCAAAAATACAAAGATTCGCTGGTAACTTGTTATAATAAAATTATATTGCACGTGGTGACAGGTTATAAGGTCATTGGAAATAAGGTCAATTGACTTTATTTCCCCCGCTGGTGCGAAATAAAGTCAATTGACATTATTACCTTTTCAAAAGCGAAATAAAGTCAACAAAAATTTGGAAATAAAGTCAGTATTTCCATTTGAATGAGGAAATAGCGTCAACAATGCTTAAAGTATGCCGATTCATAGAAAAAAATGCTGTTCTCACAATAAACAAGAGCAATAATAGCAGATCGTCGAACAATAGGGGTAGAAATGCAAATGTCCGTGCTTTAAACGCTCACGCCCCTCCGGAGCGAACACTGGGGGAGCAGGAGTTAGACAACTAAATGATTTTTCCATAACGAAAGGCATTTACTGCTTAAATCTAAATTATTCAGATATTATTCAATTGCAAATTTCCGGGTCAAATAAATTATGCACATTTTTGGTTGACACGCAAGCTGACATTTCTTGAATTAAAATTTCAAATTTTAACAAAAATTTTGCAATTGATACAAATTGCCGCATCACGGGGCCACCTCTAATACCATGGTACAAAAATGAAGGTAGTTTCACTTAATGACATTAGCAGCCATGTTAGCCATTTTACTTTTGCTGAGGTTATGACACTTTCACGAAATCAGGCTACCAGATTGAAAATTATAAAAACATTTTTTTTTTTTAAGAATGTGATCTACAAAGGACAAAATAAAATAATTTTTTAAAAATAATAAAATGAAAAATGAGTTGCGCATTTGGAAGCTGCAAAAATACCACTTAACGATATCGAGTTTGATTGGCTGGAGAATTTTGTAGGTTACCTTGTGTCGAAAAAGGGTCTGGCGGAATTCGGTTTCAGGAGGAGTGAAGGGGAAGACAATAATTTACCTTCATTAATATATATATATATGTGGGGGTACATATAATGACGTACAGACGAAAACGGACGATATTTAACGCTGACGGACGATATAATTAGTGGCGAACGAATTCCATCCTTTTTATTGCGCAAAATCGACGCCGACGAACGTTATTCAAATAAAAAGGAGGCAGTCCGACCGAGCCACCACGACGCGCAGACGTGTTTTGCACATTTAAAATTAATTAATCTTAATCTACAAATAAACGTTAATATGTAAATACAATAAACTTAATATATTCAATAAACACTACTACATCTAAAAACTGTAATAAAGTGTTTAAATCCTCAAATTGGGGGCTCAACCAAAGGTGAGTCGGTCGGTGTGAAGTGAAGTTATAAAAATCAAGGCTAAGCGAGGAAAGCCTGCGCGCCCGCTGAGTGAAAAATGAAACATTTATTGAAGAAGAAATTTGCAATTTAAACTTTGCTAATTAGAAATGAAAATCTGATTAAGATTTTGCACGGAAATTGAAGTAGAAATATATATGTACTTTATTAAAACGATCGCTTATAAAAGTGGTATTGCAAAAGCAAATCGAAAAAGGGAAAAAGATGATGCAATAGAACGAGTGGGTACACGAACGAAAAACGTTACATTCAAATGAGCCGAAAATTAAACAACGAAATTCAAAGAGCAGAAAGTGCGGAGCAAATACGACGTCGAAATCGCAGTAGAGCATCAACTCAACGAAGTGCGAAGACGAAGAAGGCAGAGGAAAATTTTATTGCGAAGCTGCAGCGTAGCGGATGGTAGTGGACGAAGAAATGGATAAGTGCCGCTGAATCGAAGTCGATGTACATACGAACAAGAAATCTATAAAGGTAACGAAGTTAATGAAGTTAGTGTGTAAGCAAAAAGGAATAAAATACATGTAAAGTACATACAAAGAACTTCAAGAAGTTAGTGTGTAAAGAAGGCAAAATAAATGTAACGAAAGAGGGACTGCGCTAATGGTTAGAAAAAGAGTGAAGGTAAATTGAAATGTAGTAAATGAGGAATTACTTAATCAAAACAAAATGTAGCAAAACGAATAGTTGATGAAAAGGGAAAAAGTAAATGATGTGAAGTAAAAGCTAGGGAATTTCATAAAGCTGGTGTAAAATGTATAAAGCAAGAAATACTGAGTCGAAACAAAGTGTTGTAAAATGAGAAGTGTAAAACAACAATGCAGAAGCAAAATAAGTAAAAGAGAAATTTGTAATCGAAGTTGATGTACATATGTATGTACGTATTTAATGAACAGAAATTATTAAAGGTGTTGAATGATTAAACAGAAGTAAGAGGAGGATGATAAAGTTAACGATTGAAAAACAATCCTTCTTCGTTTTATTACAAAATGCAAAATTTGTAAACAAACAAATAACTATAGATGAAATGTTTAATGTGAAAGCAAACAAGTAAAGTTTCAAGGAAGAATAAGTAATTGGCCTAGAAGTTAATAAAATCTGAATTGTTTAGTCAGTATTTACTATCCCTATAACGCAGATAGATACAATTAGTCGTCTAATATTTTTGTTTGCAATTTTTCTTGTTTTCGATTAAAAGTCTTATTTTTAAATTAAGCATACATACATATTTTAAGAAATTTATCCATTGGTATTTCAACATTTGCAAGATGGAAAGAACAGAGGTATTAGACTTGACAGTGGAACAATTGAAAGAAAAATTGCGAGAAGCTAGTTTACTGACAACCGGACGTAAAAAAGAATTGCAGGACAGACTGCTTCAACATTTTGGCCATTCTGCGAATGATAGTGATGGTGAATCGGTTCAGTCGGTATATGAGGACGTCGGCAATGGAAGAGTGCGGCCCAGCGTTGTGGTTCATCAACCTCAGTTTCACCCTAAAGATTTAATTGATAGCCTTTCACAGTTTAGAGGAGTAGGTAGACCTGATGTACATCAATGGTTAAGAGAGTTTGAGAAAAATTCTCAAGTTGTGGGATGGAGTGACCTACAAAAATTCATTTATGTGAAGCAATTATTGTCAGGAGCCGCTAAACTATTTATTCGCAGTCAATTTAGTATACAAACATGGTCATCTCTTAAAATTGCTTTGATAAGTGAATTTGATGCTCGGATATGTGCAGCTGACATCCACAGAATGTTGAGGAATAGAAAAAAATATGCAAATGAAAGTTTATTAGAGTATCTTTACTCATTGATGGAAATAGGCGGTCGAATTGAGTTAGACGAAGCGAGTATTATAGATTATTTTATTGAAGGAATTGCTGACTCGAGAGTGAATAAGGCTATATTATATCAGGCAAGGAGTATTAATGAGTTAAAGCTGCAAATGCGGGTATATGAAAAAGTTCGTGGTACGGAAAATCAGAAAAGCAAACCGTTTTCAGGCACTACAGTAGGAAAGAATGATGAAGTGAAGAAAGAAAGGAAATGTTTTAGATGTGGGAGTGAGGCACATTTGGCTAAAGAATGTACTCATTCGCAAGTGAAATGTTTTAATTGCAGCCAGTTTGGGCACAAATCGTTTGAATGCAAATCCGTTAAAAAGGAACAGAAGCCAAAACAAAACACGGCAAATACAGTAGATGACTGGGGTGAGTTAAAGTTCAAAAATGTTAAATTTTGCGAAAACAATTTTCAGTTTTCCGCCTTGATTGATACAGGCTGTAACCTGTGTCTTATGCGTTATGGCACATTAAAAAATAGTGGCATGGAAGTGCAGTTTAAGCTAAAGCAGAAAGAATTGTATGGAATCGGGGGTTATAAAATTAACACGATTGGAAGTTTTCAAACAAA